GTAGAGAAAAAGAAAACGATAGAAGAAACAGAACGACAAGAAACAGAGAAAAAAACAACAAACACGGGACAAGAAGAAACGAAAGGAAATAACAAAGACAACCAGAGATAAGCAATAAACTTTCCCCCGGATCGACCAGACAGACAAGACAGACAGACAGACAGAAAAAAAAGTTGTCTAACCCCCCCCCCGGCCTCCCTATGAATGGGCGTGCGGTTTGGGCTGACGCTCGAAGGGTGGATGGGCGTCTCCGGGCGTCTTTGGGCGTCTTAGAGAGCGAAGGGATGTGCAGTCGAGCCAGGGCGGTGACGGCGAGGATTCTGATCAAAGGTGATAACGATAAGGTGTGACTGAAGGATTGATGTGAGTCCTATGCAAAGGAATAGGAAGTCCTTCAGATAGAAATGATTGAAGTGAGTCCTACGCAAGGGATAGGAGTCCTTCGAATAGAAATGATTAAAAGAATAAATAGAAAATCAAGTAAATGAGATAAAATAAAGGATATTATAAAAGAGAATGATAAACAAAAACAAAACTAAAAAATAGAAAGAAAATTAAATTAGGAATAACCAGAAAGACAGAAAAAATAACAAAACTGTATAAAAATGCAAAATATATAAGCATAGGAGACGAAAGGTGAATGGAGGAAAAGAAGAGGAAGGAAGATCAGGAGGAAGAGGAAGATGATTGCAGAGTAAGGAAACAAGGAGGAGGCAGAAGGAAGAAAAGAGAAGGAAGAAAAAATGAAAGGAAGAGAAGAAAATACGAAATAGAAGAAAAAAACGAAAAGGGAAGAAAAAACAAAAGGAAGAAGAGAAAGAAAAAGGAAGAGAAAAAAACCCGAAAAACGAAAAAACAAACGAAAGGAAGAACAGGAAGAGAACCCCCCACTGTTGCACGCCCGCACTGAAACGTTCCCTGGAGAGAGAGAGAGAGAGAGAGAGAGAGAGAGAGAGAGAGAGAGAAGAGAGAGAGAGAGAGAGAGAGAGAGAGAGAGAGAGAGAGAGAGAGAGAGGCGATGCTCACTGCTACTTACCATAGTGAAAGGATCGACCAGTGAAAGTTCCCCCGTGTGCGTGCTTGCATGTGTGTGTGTGTGAGTGTGTGTGCGTGTCCTCCTCGTGCACATGAGACTGGTAGAAAGCGACACGGAGAGGAAAAGGAGATGAGCATTATGGCAGAGGAGATAGAAGAGAGGGAGAGGGAAAAGCGAAGAGAGAAGCAAGGTGGGAGAAGAGAGGAGAGGAGAGAAAAGGGAAACAAGGAGGGGGGAGAAAAGATAGGAGAGAGGTAAAAGGAGAGAGAAGGATAGGATAAGAGAGGAGAGGAAAATAGCGGGAGAAGAGAGTGGAAAGGATAGAGAACAAAGCGGAGGATATGGTAGAAAAGAGAGGAGAGAGAGAAAAGAAAAAAAATGAAAGAAAAGACGAGAAAGAAAACAACAACAAATAAGAAACAGACGAGAGAAGAGACAGAGAAAGCGAAAGCGAACAAAAAAACAGACAGACAGACTAAGAGCGCCATATCCAGTGCCAAGAGGGAGGAGCCACTTCCAAGATGGCGACCAACCCTCCTGCACGAGGGTGAAAGTCCCTTCTCCTCAGACGGCCACGTTACGCTTCGCTGTCTCTCCTTTCGTCACCACCACGTCACCATCATCACCCATCATCACCATTATCTTCCCCTTCATCGTCTTGTCGAAATAAGGGGGTTGGAACCATTCTTTCCCTCTGTGTCTACGTTCCGTCTCTCTCTGACCGTTCGTACGAAAGAAGGGGAGAGGGATAAGGAAGGGGAAGGCTAGGGGACAGGGAGGAGGAGGGAGAGAGGAAGGGAGGAGGAAAGGAAGGGAGGGAGAAAGGAAGGAGGGAGGGAGGAGGGAGGGAGGGAGGGAGAAGGAGGGGAGGGAAGGAGGGAGAGGAGGAGGAGGGAGGGAGAGAAGGGAAGGGAGGGAGGGGAAGAGGAAGGTAGGGGGAGAGATAGAGGAAGGTAGGGGGAGAGATAGAGAAGGAGAGGGAGAGAGAGGGGAGAGGGAGAGGGAGAAGAGAGAGAGAGAGAGAGAGAGAGAGAGAGAGAGAGAGAGAGAAGAGAGAGAGAGAGAGAGAGAGAGAGAGAGGAGAGAGAGAGAGAGAGAGAGAGAGAGAGAGGGAGGGAGGGAGGAGAGAGAGGAAGGAGGGAGGGAGGGAGAGAAGAAGGGAGGGAGGAGGGAGAGAAGAGAGGAGGGAGAGAGGGAGGGAGGAGAGAGGAGAGGGAGGGAGAGAGAAGAAGGGAGGAGGGAAAGACAGAGGAAGGGAGGGGAGAGATAGAGAGAGGGAGAGAGGGAGGAGGAAGAGAGAGAGGAGAGAGAGAGAGGGAGAGGAGAGAGGGAGAGAGAGGAGAGGGAGAGAGAGAGAGAGAGAGAGAGAGAGAGAGAGAGGGAGAGAGAGAGATGAGAGAGAGAGAGAGAGAGAGAGAGAGAGAAGAGAGAGAGAGAGAGAGAGAGAGAGAGAGAGAGAGGAGAGAGAGAGAGAGAGAGAGAGAGAAGAGAGAGAGAAGAGAGAGAGAGAGAGAGAGAGAGAGAGAGAGAGAGAGAGAGAGAGAGAGAGAGAGAGAGAGAGAGAGAGAGAGAGAGAGAGAGAGAGAGAGAGAGAGAGAGAGAGAGAGAGAGAGAGAGAGAGAGAAGAGAGAAAGAGAAAGAGAAAGAGAAAGAGAGAGAGAGAGGGAGGGAGGAAGGAGAGAAAGAGAAGAGAGAAGAACGAGAGAGAGAGAGAGGCCAGTCCCCATCGTCAGCGCAGGCGCGACCGGCGTTTCCGTGAGGAGGCGACACGGTGGACAGCTAAGGAGCGCGCGCGCGCCCTCACGCACGATGACCCGCGGCTCTCTCGTGACCGACATTGCGGGCGGCGCTGTATGGCGGCCGCGACCGCCCAAGACACGTGCCACGCCCAAGCGGATCGCCTGCGCCGTCGCGCCGATCCAGATCTGCCTCGAACGCCTTCCCTCAACAGCTGTTTATCGTCCCTCTATGCGTCGGTTCGAACTGCCCTGGCCGACCAGTCTTCTTAATTGCCTATTCATCTTGATTACCCCAATCATCTCAATTACCTCTCTCCCTTCA